ATAACTAGCGAATCCATCCAGGTCTATTATTTAATCCTCAATTTCAATATGGAGCCAACTTTCTTGTAGCATGATCACACCTAGTTGAGCATATTCCCGTAGTTTAACTAAGCTGGTGAGATTGGTCCTTTTTCCCATAATAGATCGAACGTTACAATGATGAGAACAAAACCAAGGGCAATGGTTTGGTTCCGAAAAGCAACTTNTTTCGAAAACTTTCTGAACGTCCTTTTTGGTTTTATTCCTTATAGTCCTCCCAAAACAGGATATAATTACACATTTAGTCCATTTGATTAAATCCACGAAATCCCGGGTGTATTTGTTCCAATTGGTCATTACTGTAGTAGCACAACCGTCGCCTTGGCCACCAAGGTAAAAGTTTATGTGAATGATGCAAAACAGCTCAGACACAGTTATGGTTATGCAGTGAATAATCCGATGATAGAAATAAAAACGGGATAGCGCAACCGCAATTCGAAGGCCCGACCCAGGTCGTGCTTCAACGAAGTGCACTTTGTACACCCCTGTCAGGACTATAACCAGCAAACCTTCGGGGTGGAAGTGAACACCCGTACCCTCGAGCTACCCAACCAACGGTTATCACCTTCTGTGATTGGCTCAATCCATTTTGAAGGTGAATATTTGAATTATTCCATCTGGCTTTTCATGGGCACCATTCACTGTTGCTTACCTTGGATGTGGGTTTTACTCCTTGGGAGATCGTTAGTTCCCCACCAGGTAAGTGCCTAAATTGATTAGGCCATTCGCACAAGGTGATGACCGTCGATTGGGTGCTCAGGGGTGAGAGTGTTGATTCTCGGTCCGAAGGTTCGCGGTTTGAGTCCTGACAGGGACACAAAACGTGCGCGCTGCTGACGAGTCCCAAACAGGACGGAACAGATGTCCAGTGCTCTTTGTTGGTTGTCACAGACATTTTCATTGCATTTGAATGCATCGTATTTGCATCAATCAATTCTTCCTTATTTCCGACATTTTTTGATAATAATAAACAGTAAAATATCCACCGAAGAAGGAAACAGGTTTTGTGACAAAGTTCACAAAATGTCATCACAAAACCCATGAGCAGTAGGTTGAGGATTCTTGGTGCCTTGCAAACGGATAAACCCAAACGTAATCGGTGAAATAACCACTGTCTCCCAACGCCAAAACTAATTGTATCTATCTATTCAATTGTGTATGCTTGGCCGTCGATGACGGTAAACCAGTGAGACAACTGTGTTACCGCGTAACCCCGCGCATCCCGGTCGGGCTTCAGAAAACAATGAGTTGGAAAATTTGGAAGTGTCACGTCATCGATGACCCGTAGGCAAGTTAGTTCGTCGATTACATAACAACACCTGGTCGAAATGAAACATTGT